AAATGGTCCCGTCCGTGTAATATATTTTTATATTATTATTTTAATACATTTTTAAACTTTTAGTTTAAAAACTATAAAAACTAAACAGCCTACAGTATTTTTACAGTCAAAATATATGTTTATTAAATAAAGTCTAATGTTACAACTAATCATGGATCCCTTTAAGATTATAAGAAGTTTCTCTCTTAACAAAATATAAATAAGTTGATTCTAGGAGTTAATAGTAAAACTATTACATGCAGGGATTTTTTTTAGTTAATATTTGGACAAATTATTAATTGTCTGCCTAATGAAYACACAGAGGAAGTGGAGGTGCCCGAGGCCAAGCCTGCTGGTGTGTATCGACCTCCTGGAGCTCGACTTACTCCCAGTAGACGAGGCCCAAGCCAGGGCCCCCCTGAGATCTTCAGCGACGCACAGTTCCCCTCCCTGCTGTCCACCGCCAAGCACGTCGAGACACGCAAGTAAGCCGAAGTCCAGCGAGACCAGCTGGCTCCATGCGCTTGAGATTTATCTAACTAATCTAACGCCTGTTTGGGTTTCAGAGACAGAGAAATGGAGAAGACCTTTGAGGTGGTGAAACACAAGAACCGTGGCCGGGAAGAAACCACCGGCGCCTCCATGCAGCAACTGCAACTTGACAACCAGTACGCCATCCTGGGGGACAAGTAGAGCTCTGCTTCCCTTCGTCCCCTGGCCCCTCCAGCACGGTCCTGCTCAGCCCATTAAAGGAAGCTGAAGTCCAGCTGTGTGGACTGCAGTCCTAACAGAGCTCCTCCTGCCACCACCATCATCACACACATACACACACACACACACACACGCGCGCGCACACACTCAATCATACATAAAAACCCCTGCAGTGACTCCCTTTAAATAACACATTTGGTCAGCGAAACTAAAGGACTGCGTCTGAAGGGGCTGMGAATCCCACCATGCGGCGCTGCAGCAGCAACAAAAGGAGGCCTCGTTGTCCTTTGTGGACTGTTCTCAGAGCAGCGGTCGCGTGGCGCAACTTCTCTCTGGACTTCAACTTGCTTCGACAAAGCCACAGAGGATCAAAGATGACTTCAGAYGAGACGATTTTACAAACTTCTGTGAAAATATCTATTTTTCTGCAAGACGGCTACGACCCAATCGCACGTGGTTATTTAGAGGAGTGTGTTTGAGTTGCAGGGGGAGGGGGAGGGGATCCTACCTCAGCGGCATAGCTGGTGGTGACAACATGGACTGAGCTTTTCTTGTTTTGCTGTGGTGGTGAAAAGGGGGACTTAACAGCCAACCTCTCCACGTGCAAGTTGGCCTTCAGGCTCTTTAATTTAGAAACTTGAAAGCGTTGTTTTTCATTCACATGCTGATGATGGCACTCTGCAGAAAATCTATGAACAAGAAGCGACCGGTTGTGTTTGTCATTTAGAATATACTACATAAAGTGGCCTTACTCGTGGGGATACTGTCATCTGAAGTGTTGTCTGATTGGCCAGCGCCTGCATCTGGATCTCACCACTTTGTGGGGAGGGGGGGGAATGAGAAAAATATTTCAAAAGATAAGAGTTTTATGCAGGAATGTAGTTTTGTTGTAGTTTGCCTGATTACAGCTACTAACTGTTTTCATATCAGCTGTTTGGTTTAATTATCTCTTCAAAAGTCTAAAATAATGATAATCGAAGCTTGTTTCTAATCTGATACCATTTCCTTTTGCTAACAAATGTTTTCCATGGCTTTGACATCAGTCATAAATATTGAAGTGATGTTTGGGGGAGCGGACAACTTAAGCACATCTTTTCTGGTTATTAGCCCAATTTGAGATCAGAACTTCTACAGTTTGCTGAAAGTGGTCATTAGAGCCCCTTGTTTTAAGATCTTTTTAGTTATTTTTTTTCTTCCTCTCAGAAGTAACCCAACTCTTAGCCTTTATTGAAGTTATTTTGAACAATAAATCAAAGAACTGGCTCTGCAGAAAGTTTCTGCATACTGCCACGCAACTGAGAGTTAAATGAGTGTTTACTGTAAGAAAAACTGGATTTCTGTGCTTTGTATGTTCTTCCCATGATGCTGTCAGAGATCTTCTTTGACACGCTTTTGGTGGACGTAGTTCTTACGTGTTTGCAAAAAGAGAGCAGTCGAACCCGAGGTAAATATAAACYGAGTTTAGGACATTTTTATTAGTGTCCTTTTCCAGAAAAGCTTTCTGTCCATGTGAACCCAAGCCTTGTATCAACATTCTGTTCCTCTAACACATGAAAGAACATAATTCCTTTTGTGGTCTCATTTTATCAGAATACTTGTTCCTTTTTTCCCTCTTTGCACATGATGAATAAATTAAAGTTCCGTCTCTTTTGAGGAAAAAAAGCATCAAATGATCTTATACCAAGCATATTAACAAATAAAAATGGCATTTTCTCACAGATTTATTTCTTTACGCTCCTCTGGTTTTCTGCAATATTTGTAATTAATGCCTGAATACTCTTAAAACATGGATGAAAATTTTTACTTCAGATCACCCCAGTAGAGTATAAAGTTTTTTTTACTAAAGCCAGATTAACAGGTTGGATCCATCCTTTTTCTGATCTAATTTACTGGTTTCCTCAACTCCACCCCACTTTTCAGTGAAATATGGTCTTCAAATGTAAATCTTTACAAAATATAACGATTTAAAACAAAATTGAATGAAAGCATCAATATTTTTAGGTGATGTACTTCARCTGTAATCAGTTTTGCCCTTGGTGCAAAAACTGAGGCTTAATGGTTATGTGCTCTGTACCATTGCTCAAAATAAAGTTTGAAAAAGAAATAAAAGGCCACCATTTGCTGCGTTCCATTAACGTCCAGAAACGACAAACCATCGGAACAAGGATTAAGTATAAAAGTTGAATGTGGAGAAATAGGCAGATACAGTTATTTGATTAAAACACTTGCAAAAATTACATTTTGTCAAAATATAACAAATAAATGTGTTAATGTATCATTTCAATGAGCTGTCTGAAATATCCTAGTGAATTAAGTAAAAAAAGGTAAATTACTCAGATCTCACTAAAACCAAACTACAAACTAACAGTTCATAAAACAATCTATTTGCTTTCATCAATAATGAGTACAAATCTGCTGATTTAACAGCCATATTTTTGACAAATGTGCAAACCTTTTATAACTGGACCATGTTATGTTATAACCTCATCTTATCAAACTATTCCAATGATTCGTGTGGTGATGAAGAGGAAGGCCGTTTTGTTAAAAGCAACCCTACATTTTGGGATGCTGCACTCACCTGTAGAGGTCGCCCTTGTGACTCTAGTCGTGTTATCTGATCTCAAAGAGACAAACTTTCTTAAAGGTGGAGCAGCAATGTTATGAAGAATTGTATAAACTAAACAAATGTTCGCATAAAATATCATATATATGTGTGTGTGTGTGTGTGTGTGTGTGTGTGTGTGTGTGTGTGTGTGTGTGTGTGTGT